ATACCAATGCGTATTGTCGATACACCACTAGCTTTTTCGTGGTCTCACTTTCTATTTCATTAATTTATGAATCTTCTGGCATCTCCCATGCTGAAATACAAGGCTATTTCCAACATGAGCATCCACAAGTAGCCTATTGCATTAGCATAAAGGGGTTCATTTTAGCCTATTAACTCTTCCCTCCACAGATAATAATAATATCAATACCTACATCAAGTTTAAATTGAAGTTCTGGTCAAATTGATGAATTAGATAAACATCTACATGATGTCACTTTCTCTCGCTCGCATCCATCATCGATCTCTGAAGACCGAAACCGATGGACAGTGATGGATCAGAATATATATAGCTACCAACATACATTATAATTTCCATAATCTATTTATAATTTCCATCATCTATAACTGTGACGTCTGAGCCACCAGTACCCATACCTTAGTCCCACTATTGCGAGTCAGAATTTGAAATGCATAGAAGTGGGGAGTTCGAAAAAGCAAATTGTAACATTAGATCGATATTCATCTAAGTTTCTACGGTTTATCATTCTTTCTAATTCTTTTAAGGGTCGAGGATTTAGTGGCTCACAGGTTGAGCGCCCTTTTTAATTGGTTGAAAACCTGGACTTCGTGGCCAGCAAGATTCGAAATTGGACTACTCTGATATCATCTTAAGTTAATTCTTTCTAACCATTAGACGAAAACTTCAAAGTTATGTTGAGGGCTGACTATGATGGTTTTATATTAATTCTAACATGTCACCGCAGGGTCGAGGATTATGGTTTTATATCAGAAATTCTAACACGTAAATTTAGGTCTCTCCTAATCCAAACCCTCGCTTATGTTATGACCCCAAAACCTCAACTCGTACATCTCTATGATTACTTCAATTAAGGTAGTGTTTAAGATCTTTAATCAACAAGTCAATCAAAGATACTAGGCAGGAACCGACTCTGATTAAAGTCCAAATTAATCAACCTCAAAAGAAAACCCAGTAAGCGATCACCAGAGCGCCTTAGATCTCGTCACGATAACGGTTTTTGGCCGTGGAGCGTGTGTGTGTGTGGGCGCGTGATACGAGTCAAGAAGCCGCATTAAAAGCAAAGCATTGCGAGCCAGAAACTCTTGTCGAATCGCGCCAAACCCCAACCGTACGAAGTCTAATCGTCACAACTGGGTTTTGTCTTATTCGTGACAGGTGTTTGAGCCTCGCACTCACACGCCTCTGATTTGCTCATTTAATGTGTAGAAGTATCTGCGGCACAACGCCAAAATCTAAGTGTGGAGGTGACGTGACATCCAGGTGAACTGAACCGCCAATTATTTGGGGTTGGTTCCGTTTATAATTTTTAACAAGTTCATGAATTCGCAGTTAGGGTTAGTATATATTACGTGCTCACCGAAAAAGGCTGTGGAGAAATGAAGCGTCTAGAAACTTGCCACGAAAGTACTTTTTTACGACATCCCCGACGTACACATCACATCCGCCTATTTTTGGTAAGGAAGAGCAAGAAATTATGTTCCGGATTCAGTTCCGTAAAACGAAACTGGTGTACAAATTAAGGCAGTCGCTAAGCCAAGCATTCTGGTAAGGAGGTCCAAATTAAAAAAAAAGTTTAAAATCTCAGCCATAAAAGTAAAAAATAAAATAAAATATTCGACCTCTTTTAAGAAATTAATCCATAATTGAGTCATTGTTTTAGTTCCTTCAATTTATTTGTATTTTAAAATTAATTATTCCCTCAAATCATGAAAACTGCTATTAGGTCCGTCAAATTTTAATTTATTTTTAGATGAGACCCTAGCTCAACTCATGAATATAACTAGCGATTGGAAATATTAAATTTGAAAAAAAAAATATGAGAATTGGAGGGGCTGATATTCCACAACAATAGATTTTACTTGTAATATCTACAATTGTAACTTCTACTCTTAATTGATTGGAGGAATTAATTTCAAAATAAGTTAAGAATTGATGAACCTAATAGGAACATTTGGGGGGTTAATTTCAAAATAACCTAAGAATTGAGGGAACTAATAGCAATTTCCATGCTTTCAGAGACCAATTTCATTATATGAAATATGTAAGGGATCAATATGGAAAAAAAATTTACTATTCAAGAGGTGAGGCCAGGGCCCTAATATGGAAAAAAATTTACTATTCAAGAGGTGGGGCCAGGGCCCTAATATGGAAAAAAAAATTACTATTCAAGAGGTGGGGCCAGGGCCCTATCGGGCCTTTAGGGCCCGTTTGTTTCATTTTTTTTTGAAGGAGAAAGTTAGAGGAAAGCTGCCAAATCTGACAAAAAGTGTCAGTTTTGACAGGTTTTCTTGCAAAAACGCCTCTTTTTAGAGGCGTTTTTGCAAGAAAGCCTGTCAAAACTGACAGTTTTTGTCAGATTTGGCAGGCTTTCCCCTTCTCATTTTTGCAAACAAACAGCCCCTTACTGGCTCTGTACGGAGGGTTGTTTTGTGGAATCAGATTTACATGGATTATACATATCATTAATATTTAGAATTTGACCACGCAGAATTGCTTTTGACTATGAGGGCCTAATATACAGGTGGCAGCCCCGCATAATTCCATTGACTGGTCAACGAGTAAGGGTCCAGGGGCAGCTCCCTTGGAAGGGTCTAGTAGCAGTAAGCAGGAAGAAAATATTCCTTTTCGCTTATGTAGTGATGGTATTTTCATATTTTCGTCCCTAGCTATGGACAAAAATTCCATGCATACTACAGATATGTATATCTTCAGCCGCCTGCTACTTTTTATCCGAAGGAGAAAAGAGTACAATAGGCTTATGAGGCTACGGTTTGGTAGATAAGCTATAATCATTTTTTTTTTCATTCCATTTCGACCAAAGTTAGTTTTTCCATTGTGCTGCTAATTAACACAAAAGTGCGAAAAGCATTAATTTCATTAATGATATTCTCCTAGCTACTTCTTATATGTATGCTTCGTATGTGAGTATAGGATCAGAACATTCCTAACGTACGATGGATATGCACAGAAAAGACTTGTATTCTTCATATTCATGCATGCATGCATGCTTGCTCGTTAAAAGAAATATACCAAGATCACTAGCTAGGCTGCAACTTGCCAAGTGTTTGCTCTCAATGATGTTTTTTATATTGTGACACTAGTACAAAACTGGTCTGCCCAAACAGTTACTAGAACCGTTTGGGCAAATCAAGATAGCCCAAACGGTTCAAACCGTTTGGGATAATAATTCCAAACGGTTTAAACCGTTTGGGAGTTTAGAAAAATCCATACGGAGCACCCAAACGGATTTAACCGTTTGGGATATTTTATTCCAAACAGGTAAACCTGTTTGGGAGTTTTGATGGATCCTACAAAATTAAAATTTCATTTCCCCGCTATATTTCCCCGTTCTCCCCATGAACCTGCGATATTTCCCCCAAATTTTTCCCTAAAAACCGCCGCTCCCCCCAAAATAGCCCCCCAGCGCAATATTTCCCCAAAATTTTGGAAGTCCGACCGCGGCCTCTCGCTTCGCCACCGCTCCTCCGCCTCCGCCTCGTCGTCTACCGCTCCTCCGCCTCCGGTGTGTGTGTGTGTGTGTGTGTGTGTGTGTTTGTTTGTTTGTTATCTGTATAGCTGATATTTTGGTGGTTGGGTTGCAGTATTCGGTGGATCAGTCGGCGGCTGAGAGGTTGAAGAAGATCTGTTCTGGTTGATGCCCGGTAAGTGCTTGATGAAATTACTCAGTTGGGTAATAATAAGATTTTTAGCAGTTTTGGATGATGAAGTAAGTTCAGATTGACTATTTGAAGTTTACAAGCATGAGCTTTTATGGTAGGAATGTAAATGACAGTTGAACTGAGCTGGATTTATTTATTTTGAGCTGTATACTCTTTATGTCAAATCTGGTGGATTAGCTTATGAATTCTGCTGCAAAATGATAATAATGAATATTGTTGTCTCAATTTTTTGTCGGCTTTCTGAATTCTTTTTCTTTCGTTTATCTGTAGATGAATAATTAGTCAAGTTAGAAGCCTTCATATTTCATTTGCAGCTTCTAATAGTCTCCTTACATGCTTAATCTGGGTAATTTTCTATCATTTATTGATGTTATCTTAATTTTCCATGAATGAACACATTCTGTATTCAGTCTTTTTCTCACAATGGCTGCTTACTCGTTTTCAGATAAATTCATCTCTTGAACATAATTTTCTTGAATGCTTGACATTTTACCTTTAAATTATAACTGATCTTATAACCATCTAGTGGAAACTTTCTGTTCACTTCATGGGCTATTATATGATCACATAATACTGTGGACATTTCTCCACTTCAGCCATCCTGCCTTTTGTAATGGGAGATGGGTTTTCTCACTCAAGTTGCTAGCACTACTGCCATACACAGTCCTTAATCACCACATTATAACTGCTAAATACTCAATTTCTTTTGATAAAGTACTTGCTTCTTTTGACGCAACATGTAATCTCTAAGGATCTCATCCTTTTATATAAGCACTAGCCTATGTGTATTGATATCCATGAGTTACAAATGAAGAGTTGGCGTTAAGTACTTTAGGCAGGTTGGGTTGGGTTAGCTGGCACACATCTTAGCCTAAATCCAACCTATCTAAAATTTGGTCAAGGTTTAAACTGTATCTTACTAAAAATGAAAACATTTGACCTTAAACTCAGGTTAAGTTTGAATTGTTTCATGGTCAGGTTTGATCCAATCTGCAAAGTTACAGCACTCTGCACGCGATACTTAGATTCCATTCTCTATATAGATAGATGTACATAATGACAGGGTTCATCATGGTTGGTCATGCAGTTGATAGGATTGGTCATGATTGGTTATGCGGTTCATTTGTATAGTTTTATTGAAGTTACTATTTAAAACATGCAGGAATGTTTTATATACTGGTATATATCATCTAGCACATGCGTGAAATGTTTTTGTCAGATTATCATTGTCAAGGGTAAGGGTTTAGTATAATTTTTTATTTTTTAAACAAATGACAATAGATCAATATATCAATGTTGGAAGACCCCATTTCAGGTTGGTATTAGGCATTCAATCTTGAATGTGGTTTCATTATGGAAGTTTCAAAGAGTTTCAGGTCTGAGTTTCTCTTTCAGAAATTTAGTAAACCTTGTTACAAACATAGGATTTCTAGATGTTTTGGGCTCATGTTTAGAATTCTGCAGAATTTAAAGTTATTTATATTCTTGAAATGTTTTCTCTGTGCTGTAAATTTAGTATTGAGCTGCAGGCTACTGAGGTATTACTTCAAGCTGATTCGATCCAAGCAATTGCCCCAGGACATCAAAGCTGCATCAGGACATCAAAGCTGCATCAGGTTAAGCAAGCATTCTGAAATTATTTTCATTTTTAGCATTTTCATATGTACATTATATATGTGTGTATTTTTAGCATTTTCTTCTTGATTACACATACCCATGAATACTTACATGCACACATCCATCAATGCAGATAGATCTACCAAGGGAGAGACAATGCAAAGACCGAAAACATGAACCGGTATTATACATTGATCATAATAATGCTATTCAACATCTTAAGCATTTGGTGCTACTACTAACCATTGTATGTCTGGCAGCGAACAGACCCCATGCAACACGCTCTCTCAGTGAATGTCACACATCTATTATGTTTTTAATTTTTTCTTAAATATATCTACTCTTGCCTTGTTGACTTATATTTGAATACTTTGTATCGTGTAGGATCGGGTCATCGAAAAGGCAACCTCATTTTGGATATTAGAGACAAGTATATAATATTAGATGCTTTTCATTGTGAGATATTGAGTACATTGTGTATGTATATGTTTTGTCTCTAAGTATATTGAGTAAACATTGTGTATGAATATATAACATTGGATATTTAGCAAAGTATGAGAATATTTTGATTTCATTGTGAGATGTTGAGTACTTATTATGTGAGATGTGTATATAAATATTTGAAACTGTTTCGGGAGAAAATAAATAAAGAAGCTAAAATTTTAAAACTATTAAAATAAATAGCCCAAACGGTTGAAACCGTTTGGGCTAACTTTCGCCCAAACGGTTTCAACCGTTTGGGCTAAAATTTGGCCCAAACGGTTGGAACCGTTTGGGCGATTTAAGTATATTGAGTAAACATTGTGTATGAATATATAACATTGGATATTTAGCAAAGTATGAGAATATTTTGATTTCATTGTGAGATGTTGAGTACTTATTATGTGAGATGTGTATATAAATATTTGAAACTGTTTCGGGAGAAAATAAATAAAGAAGCTAAAATTTTAAAACTATTAAAATAAATAGCCCAAACGGTTGAAACCGTTTGGGCTAACTTTCGCCCAAACGGTTTCAACCGTTTGGGCTAAAATTTGGCCCAAACGGTTGGAACCGTTTGGGCAATAACCCAAACGGTTGTAACCGTTTGGGGTTTTGCCCAAACGGTTGAAACCGTTTGGGCGACCGTTGGGGACAACTCATCCCCAACGGCTTTAGCCCAAACGGGTGTTTTACGTCTTCCAAACGGTTGGAACCGTTTGGGAGGGGGTTTTCCCAAACGGTTTCAACCGTTTGGGCAGACCAGTTTTGTACTAGTGTGAAAAAATGGAGGGAAATATGAAATTTGGTTAGACTACTAGTTTCACCTTTTTCCATAGCTAGGCCTCAGTTGAGAGCTTGGGGGGAAAAGAATGGTGTGCGAGAGGTCATGAGGTTGACAATAAGGAAATGAATAGAGATCAACGGAGGAGACTACATTGGCTGGCTACAAGTGGGAGGATCGACGGAGGAGATTGCGTTGGCTGGCTGCAAGTGGGCAACGTGAGACATGATAGACTGCACAATATCATCACCTTAGTGGTTAAGAGCAAACCTCATGCATTATAAGGTCTTGAAGGAACCTTCCCTCGTATGTCAGCTGGCATCTTGGATTAATGCGTTACATGATATCAATATATAGCTTGTTTTCATAATTATAAGGCAGTTCATTTCACCTGACCCCCCCCGCCCGCCCCCCCCCCCCTAGCTTCAAAGTTAAAAAACTCACTATCATTTTCCTTCACATATTCCCTACTTTATTCGAGTAAATAATTCTAAAACAACCCAAAAAAAAAAAAAAATAGTAGTGCGCTAAATTCGCGGCTCCAAGCTCCCCTTTACTTTTGTGAGCCCCCTAGCGTGACCCCGACCACGATACCAGCTAGAACCATCAACTTGGAAGAAAAAATTAATTTCAGAAAAGGCAAAAGTAGAATCCAAGGACTCTATATAAACCTTAAACAAACTGCAGGAGGAATATAATCAAGGGAGACTGTACAATAAAGGCACGAGTATCAAGTCAAGCCACTGGTCATCCATTGGACTGAATCATGATGACTATGTTAACCTATGTAAAAAAATCATTGACGTGAATCTATTCTTCAGATTTTTTTTTTCCCCTTTTGTCCTTCTGTGGATTTTTTAACCCTTAAACGAAGGTGATCCTTTTAGGGGGTGTTTGTTTCATTTTGATAAAAATACATTGCACGTACGATATAGGCTGGACATGTGTCTACATCTTTGTGGGTTAAAGGAAAAGCTCCCAAATTTATGCCGACCCTAATTAAAGATCCAGATGGGTCAATCACATGATTTGGAATTCAAATTATTTGCTAAGCTTGTTTGATCATTATTGGGCGTTAGCTCTTAGTCATATGACATATGTTAATCATGTAGTTAATCAAGACAATGTAGTAGCTAATATATCTACTCCTCATTGTGGTGCTCAATTTGATTAGGGCAAAGCATTTATGATGGAAAGTTGGATCAGAATATAACTATATATCGAATACAGCGGATCGATGTTGAATGATTTTTAAAAGCTCAGGTGTTGCTTTACCCCGCCCATGAATGAAAAGCTTCGTAGGGAGCTACTAGCTAGGGTTAAATGACAAGTGAAAATAGTAAGTAAACTTCAATTCTTGGTACTTAAAAATCTAATTAGTTCGTATTGAATCTTATTATTAATTTTAATATGGAGAAAGGATTCAATGACTGAGCCGTACTTTAGATCATCTTCTTCAATCTACCAAACCCCTTCCAAATTCATGGTTAATAGAGGAGAAATGCTGAAGGGGTTAAACAAAAATCTTTAATCAAAAATCAATTTTAATGGTCTAATTCAGTGGCATTACTCACACAATTTTTTAACGACCACCTAACAATGGAAATTAAGTTGCGAAATTTCTTATATTATAATCAAATTTCCTTTTTAAGTCATTTGTCAATTTTGGACTAGCTTTTCTGTTTAAGATAAAATGTGCTCTGACATAAGGTTCCTACTCATAATAGATCTTGAAACCCAAAATGATTTGTCGCGTAAGTTAAAAATTTCGACATGTTTGGCAACTGGATAAAAATCAAGTCAAACCTACTTTTTTTTCTTAACCAGATCAGATTGATTTAGGGTAGGGGGTGGACTAATTATGATCTAGCTTTAGGGTCACAAAATTTAGTAACAATTGGTAGAATTAGTGCAGTTTTAACCAGACACAAAAGAACATTAAAAACTTTGCTTGGTTTAGTTCTAACCCAATTTTAAAAATTAAACCATTCTTCAAACTACATTACAATTCGACAGAGGTTAACCGAGCTAAAACTAAGAAATGCATTATTAGTGCTCCATTAGTATGTTGGATAGAAGATTCCTAATCTATTTTGGTAACATGAGGTTATTAGGATTCCTAATCTATTTTGGTAATAGGTTATTAGGATTCCTAATTTGATTTGGCTTTTGGTTTAGAATTCCTAGTATGTTTATGATTTTAGGATTTCTATATATATGGAACAATTGGAAGAGAGAATTAGTGGAGAAGAAAAATTAGGGATATTTGAAGCACAGAAAAGATGTATTTTCTGAGCTATTTGTTTAGGTGTTTTGGTGTCGGCTCAGTTTTGAAAAAACTTCACCGAGGTGGAGAATTGTGACGTGGGGGGGTCTACCACGTGATTGAAGCCACGCGGAAACCATAAACACCTAGGGGACGCGGAAACAGCCAGGGGCCCACCCGAATACTCATATATATATAATTGTTTGTGTTTTTTAGGTTTTTGTGCCAGGGAGGTTTGTGATTTTGGTTTTTGCGGCTGGCTGCCTGCAAGTGCCCAAGAGGGTTGTTTTCTTTGGGCGGCTACGGAACAGAAGCAGTGCAAAGATTTCTTTTCGGCTGGTGATTTCTTTTCGGCGAGCAAGGTCCTTTTTTTGGCTGCGGATTTGTTTGCGGCTACGGGAAGAAAAGCAGCCGTGTTGAGGAGATTTTGTGTAGTCCCTTTTAGGGTTTTGTGCATCCTTTTTGAGAGAGATTTTGTGAGGGATTTGAGAGTTTGTTTGAGGGTTTAGTTTGTGAGTGATTGTAAACCCTAGTTGTATTCTCTCCCTCTATTAGTAGATCTCCCCCCTCCTTGCCCCGTGGACGTAGGTAATTTGCCGAACCATGTAAAAATTGATTGTACTGCTATTTGTGTGATTTGTAATAGCTTTTAGGTTCCCTCGACGCGCAGTCCTAGAGCTAACGAGAGGAAGAGCTAATATCTCACTTTGATGGGATATTAGGCTTCCGATTCTTGTTCCCTTTGAGAAACAAGAATTCTTATTGTGACCTGACTCTCTTGTTGTGCTGTCGAAGTGCTGCCGAAATTTCCGCTGCGCGCAACAATTGGTATCAGAGCTCCAGATTTCAGATCTAGGATTTTGTCTTGGTTGGAGGAGTAGATCAATTTGGAAGTTCGGCTAAGGCTTCGTTTGGTAAGAAAGGTGGGATCTTTTTGGTAAAAACTCTATCCTTTTTAGTTTGGATCTATTCTTCGTTTATTCCGCATTGGTTTGTTGGCGCTTGGGCTATTTAGAGGAGTAGATCGCTTTGGAGGCTCTTCGAGGGCTTCGTTTGGAGATAAAGGTGAGATTTTTCCTATTTGTGGATCTCGTTGCCGTCGTGCGGGGTAAGATCGTTTAGAGACTCTTGTTAAGGTTTTATTTGGAGGTAAAATTCTCTCATTTATCAGTTTGGATCTATTCTTCATTTGTTGGTGCTTTGAGATAGTTGGCCGAGATAGAAGGAATTGAGGCTGGGTTATTTGTTTATTGATACGGTGCATTGGATTATTGAGAAGTGATCTTGACCTGCATATTGAAGTCCTTTTGAGCACGTTGGTATGAGCAATGAGACCGGGATGAAGTTTGGCACTTCTATTTGATGATTGAGGGGTCTTCTATTTGCTGTTCATTCAGGCATTTAGGGGCCTTCCAAGGAGACATCATTGGAAGGTAAATTGGTATTTTGGTTTTCTATGTTGGGGATTGTACTAGGTATTTGTGGGTTGTAACCAAATCCCGTTGGTTTTGAAGTCCTAGTAGTCAACAACAGTTGAAGAAGTGTATTGGGAGTAAGGTGAAGGTACTTCATTCTGGTTGTAGAAGGAGGTACAAGAGGGACCTACTGTATTTGTGCCGAGCTCATGGCAGTTTGAGACACTTCATTAGAGAGGAAACATTAGGGCGATGAGATGAGATGACAGTTTCGATGGGTTGTTCATCGGCGTTTGATATCGAGCATTGGCATTGGTGTGCGGGCTTCGATATATTTGGGTCATCTTATGCATAGGTCGCCGACTGCTGCATTAGGAGTTATTAGATCTGGTGGAGCTGCTTCAGATTTTGGTTGGCGTCGGATATTTGGTTGCCCAGTATTTGGTCACATCGAGGATGTGAGATTTGATCCGATTGCGCGTTTGGGATTCGGAGGCTCGTTTGATTATCGTTTGAGTAGGAATGTCACTTTTGACTCTCAGCAGGTGGAGAGTGTTGATCAGGTCGTTTGGATATCGCAGCAGGTGGAAGGTGATGCTACTCCACGTTGGGTGAAGTTTACTCCACATACTTCA